GTTTGTGCCTTGTGCAAACTGTTAAAATCTACTTTCTGTTGTGTTAGGTAGTTGGGTTTCATCTGAGGAGAACGTTTGCAGTCCTGGAGGATTGCCCTGCTCTGACCTTACCAGCCAGGCAATTCCCTCTTGAATTTTTATCACTGTCAATGTTTTTCTTTTTACCAGGTTGCCCGACTTATCCATTGTCATTATGGTGGACTCCAAGCTGCCTGGCACCTTCCACATGAGCGAGGTGATGCAGGCTGGCGACAGCAGCCATATGAAGCAGCTAAGAGCCCTGCAGCAGACCCTGTCCTGCCACGAGCCCATCAACATCCAGTTCACTTCAGTAGGTGCTCCTGGGCCTCGGGCTTGGGCCTCAGCTTTGGACAGTGGTGCAGAGCATCCCTTTCCTTCTGCCTCCTGAGACCAATCTTGGTTCCATTTAATTTCAGCCCTCTGGGGTAGGATGGAGAAACTGTTTTAGCATTTCTCCCTTACCTCTGCCATTCATTGCCAAGGGCAAATGAAGATAGAGGGGTGTAACATGGAGGGGGAATAAAAAAAAGATGAAGATTCCCAAGTCTGAGTGGAGAATAAAGTGCAAGATGAGCAGAATCTTTGCCTGGGAAACTGTGCCAAAGCACCAAGTACTTCATCCTCTGAATGGATGATATTATCTATATAGCTATGATGTATCTTTGTCTTTCAGGGGACGACGGGAAGCCCAAAAGGAGCCACCCTCTCTCACAGAAACATTGTGAATAACGCAAATCTGATTGGCATGAGACTGGGCATCTCAGAGCAGGTGGGTCTTTGGGTGAGAACGTGGGGTAGCCCCTCTAGCGAGAGCAAGTAAGCGGGGAGAGCTGGTGCTGGCCCCGTGGGAAGGCAGGATGTTTGGCTGCCAGTGGTGGGGAGGGCTATCAATACCTTGAAAAGGAACCATGTGAATATAGAGAAACAGAAATTCTCGCGAGGCTGAGTTCACTTTTTTATTGGTGTTGGTGAGTTTTTTTGTATGTTTGTTTGTTTTTGTTTCTTCTTTCTTTTTGTACCAAGCAGCTTGAGCTTTGCAGGTAGCAAATTTCTCCACCTGAACACTTCCATAGCTTAAGGGTGGAAGGACATCTAGTCCAAAAGTTTCTGAGTGTTCTTCCTTCATGGTGTTTTTATTTTTACTGAAATTGAAGTGTTATAAGTAAATAAATAAACATATTTATGTTACCATTTGATTGAAAAAAAAAAGCTTGTGAATCACTTTGCATTTTGGTGACTATTTTTTCAGACAGTTATGGGACTGTAAAGGTTAGCTTTGAATCCTGTCGAGCTTGTAAAATTTGTTTTGCATAACTTCATGTCGTGCACGCAGTCTTGTTAATCTTATCAGGATATGTATGCCCTGGTTGCTGACGTTTTCTATTTTCATTTCCTTTTAAAAATCATTAAGGGCAAATATTTCCCTTTGAAGTTCCAAAGTAGTTTATTATAACACAACTACTTTGATCTTCAGAGCCTTTAGTGTTTAAAAAACAAAATAATAATATTAGCGTGTGCCAGCTCCTGCGTGGTATGTATTTCATACCTGTTGTAGCATTGCAGCTCTTCTGGCATGTCATGAAATAATGTGGAAGCAAAATCAGACTGAAAAGTCCAACATGTAAATGACATTGCAGAATTCCAGAATGAAGTTTTGACATGAAAAACTTCCTAAGCTGTTTGTTATGGAATGCAAGCACTGCTAGCAGTAGTGTTCCCACCTAAGGAGAACAAAGCCGAATGTTCAATTTCCAGCAAGATTCAAGTGAAACGGGGAACCTCCTCTGTTCAGAGCCATGTGCTCCAGCTGTGAGGTGTGCTCAGCACGGGTGGGAAGCTCTCGTCTCCTCACTGACCTCTTTGTTTGACTTCATGGCAGGACTATCGTGTCAACATCCCCGCTCCCCTCTATCACTGCCTGGGCTCTGTAGGAGGCGGCATGGTGATGGCTCTGCATGGTTCCACCTGCATCTTCCCATCTCCCAGCTTCGAGGGAAAGGCTGCACTGGAGGCAGTGTTGAGAGAGAAGTGAGTTTTTGTGTCTTCTTATTGCAGAAGAATTCGGCCTCACGTGGTGGTGCCGCCACGACTCAGGTGCCAGACCCCTGCTCGTGTCCTCTTCCTTCCCACTGTAACAGACACGTGTTGTCTGGGGCACGTTTGCTGCACATGCACCTTGTAAAACAAAGATGCTGCTGTAGTCCTTGCACACACACACCCATGTAGTGATGAACAACACATCTACTAGCCCTGCCCCTGTGCCACTGCCTCAGTGGCACCAGGTACAGTGGGAAGTAGGGTGTTAAGTCACTTCTGCACGGGGCTCTACCTCTTCACTTTGCCTTTCTCTTCCCTTATTTAAGATGCTCCTTTCTGCATGGCACTCCAACTATGTTCATAGATATGCTCTCCCAGCCAGACTTCGACTCCTACGACTTGTCGTCTCTGCGGGGAGGTAAGCCCAAAACCCCAATGAGAAAAGAGCAAAACGCTGAGAAATTGGGTATTGTTGGCTCCCCACCGGGAGGGAGGTCACCAAGGGCTTGCTTATGCATTAAGCTTTGAATTCCATATTTTTAGCACTCCTCTTCTGTCTTGTGGCAGTCTGGGGAAGGAGCCTTCTGGTTTATTTGCTAGGGAGGGTGCTGGGAAGGCTGGTTTTGCTGCACTCCGATACCAGCAGCCGCCACCACGCGGCAGCAGCCACGTGTGCTATAGGGGCTGCTCAGAGCCTGCAGCAGAGCTGCGCTGAGCACCAGGAACCTGGCCTGAAGCGTCCCGTCTCTTTCTAAAATCACTCACATAAGCAATGGAAATGCAGGACTTCTCTTATCGTGGACGGCCTTAGATACAGATACACAGCGACTGAAGCAGGGAGATCCCCTGCCCTTTTGAGGCAACACCTAGAAAAGGTGGTGCTGGAGCACAAAGAGGCATCTAGGTAGATACTGGATCATCTCTGCTATGTGGGAAATGATCCTGTGTTACCTCATTCCTCAGAAAAGCGTATTTAGTACTCGCTGCTTCCTTAGGATAGATTTGAACAAGGGAAAATGTGATCTGCTGTCTCCCTAAAGGCCTGGTCTCCCAAAGGCAGGAGGAAAGCTTTTTATTTTTGTGAGGGTGGTTGGTGTATGGGAGTGTTTTTGTCCTGCTAAGAGTTTTGCCTGTTTCTGCTCTGAATCTTTCCTTTTCTGGAACTGCAGCTTGGAGTTAGTTTGCGCTAGAGACTTTATTTTCCTAACGAGTCAACTCTGCCAGCCCTTGATTCATACAGGCAAACTGGGCCTACTGCTGCAGTGTTTGTTCCTAGAATAGCTAGGGCCCACATCCATAAAAATAGAGAGTGTTTCGACAGGAACCGGTGTATCCCAAAGGTCTTGCCAGCATTGAGATGTGGGAGCACAAAACCTATTGAAAATGTGCCTCTGTGGAGAGATGGTCTCCAAGACAATTCTCTTTCCCTCTTCCTTGCAGGAATCATTGCGGGTTCCCCTGTTCCCCCCGAAATCATGAAGATGATTATGACAAAAATGCACATGCCGGAGCTTGTGGTGAGTCCCTCCCTGGTTGCTGTATTTTGTCGTGCTGAGGCCCTGCATTTGTGCACCTCTGCCCTGCCGTGGTGACAGGCACCCCCTGAGCTCCAGTGGCCAGGGGTGACGGGAACATGGGCATGAGGCTGGGCTGAGCCGAGAAGACAGTGCAGCTGGGAGGACAAGCTGGGATTCTGCTCGGTAGCTGCAGGGTCGCAGGAGGGAGGGAAGATATTACCCTCAACGCTGCAGCCTGAGCTGCTGTTGATGATATAAACCCTTCTGTTTCCTCACTGTACATGCTGCAAGGATGGATTGTTATGGAGGAGGCGTTTCTGATGCGTATTGGTGTGAGTGGAAGCACACGCTCGTTTGGCAGCGGAACTAGCAGGTTTCTTTCACCCCCCTGGATTGCACGCGGATGTTAAACCTTGTGCACGTTGCATCTGAGACCCTGAGCATGAGCACAGTAAGAGCCACCCCTGCACCTCAGGCGGTTGCCGTGTTCGGCTGTGCTCGTGCTCCATGGCATGTCCGTGCACCCTCCGGCCTGTGCATGAGCATGTCCTGCATGTGGCAGGGGACGGGACATCAATGAGCAGGTCCCCAGGACTGGGGTGACACGTGTTGTAGGAGGTCCAGAAGAGCTGGGGTGTCACTGGTACCTGCTCATTTGATGTCTGACAGACTTTACTCTTCAGGAGTGTGTGTCTGTCTGCATGAATGAGAAAGCCAGAAAAGGCTTATTTTTGTTTTGCTTGAGAGGAAATAAATTCTGCCTCCGTGCCACGGGGTTGTGGATGCTGAGGAAGCAGACTGTTGTGGTGGATAAACACATGGAGCTGGGAGTCAGATTGCGCCTGTTGTTGTTGGCAGATCCGGACCTTGCCAGCACCAGGAGTTTTCCAAGGATGACTGTGTGCTCTGGAATGGACTCGGGGAGCCCAGGGCATCTGTCCTGGAGCAATCTTAGGGACAGCCAGGTTTTTTCCTAGACATGAAGCAGTTGATGGTGATTTCAAAACTCCAGGGACAGTTTTGGTACTGTTCCCTGGATTCAGTCAGGTGGCAGCCACCTCTTCTAGCAGGCCTGAGTTTGGCCTCACAAAGTATTTTCAGACATCACTATGGTGGCCAGGATTCATTAGGTGTCTCGCACATTCCTGCTTTGCAAAAGATGCAGTAATAAAACTCTTCTCTCCCAAGCAATCACCCTTCCCACAGGATAAAGACTAAGTCTATATTTGTACCACCACTCTTGTTACTTCTGATACAGCAGCTGTCAGACAGACACAGGGAGACTGGTTGAATTCATCTTTGCAGCAAGAGCTTTATACAGAAGATGTACATAAGAAAATATACAATTTGGTTTCTATATAGGAGACAGAGGAGCTTCCATCCTCTTAAAGGTCATTTACACTCAGTTACGGAGGAATAAATATATATATATTTATATAACTCTTTAGGATAAAAAAAACACAGCTAAGTTGAAACTGTGGTATTGTTATAGCCATGACAATAAACCACAGTCATCCTGGTGCGTCCTGCTCGATCCTCTGGAGCATGGGCAGAGCGAGGAGGGGTGCCCAGGCAAGGCCACGTGGTGCACACCCCCTCCTGGACATCTATGCATCTTGGCAGACCCCCCTAGCGAGAAGGGAATCCAATTCAGATTGCTTTGGGTTCAGGGTTTCCCACTACCGCTTCCCTTCAAGATTTCCAGCTGAGCTGGAGAGATCGCTCCCCTTGGGAAGAAGCGGGAAGCTCTCCCTCGGGACCGCTGCTTCTCGGACATTGATTCACCTATCGTCCTCAGCCCTGACCTGCAGGGATCCTCTCCGTGGTGGGCAGAGGAGGCTCTTTGCGTGGGTTCTCCCGATTGAGCAGCTGGGGTCGGGCTGGGGGGGATGCTCCTACCTCCCCACTTGCTTCCACTCTGTTGGAAGGGGAGAGACAGAGACAACCTGGCTGCTCGGGGGTGCGGGTTTGGTTGCCTCTGTAAAAGATGACTGTGTTTTACCGGCATTGTCTAGGTTAGCTTGTCTTAGTATGGTCATGCATAGTTTGGTTTTTAAAAATGCCTCTTTTAAAATATATAGATGTCGAAAAAGATTGAAAAGGTGGATTCCATCCTGCAATCAGCAGAGAAGCGGGGATTTGGAGGAGGCTGGAGGTGTTTGGATATATCAGAAACGTATCCTGACAGGTAGGAGAAGCTTAAGGAAGGACTCAGAAGAAGTCAGTAGTTTTCTGATGGTTGAAGTGACCGGTCACCAGGACAGGCCATAGCGGGGCCTGCTAGGAAACAAAAAATAAACAAGAGAGAGAAACTCACATTTAACATGTTTAAGGGCTTTTTCCAAACAAACTTTCACCTAAAAGGCAGTCCCTGAATAGTGACCCAAATCACTGATAGTCCCTAAAATATAAATCCCTATAAGTGACACCTGAGAAAGCTGCCTGGCTCTGAGATGCCTGAGTGAAGTCAGAGAGGCCAAAGGAACCTCACATTCCTCAGACTTGTGTCATGCAGTGGGTTTCCATGCCTGCATTTTGGTACACACAGCCGAAGGTAATAAACTTTGCCTTCTGTAAAATGAATAGTTCAATGGTTAATTAAAAACTGTAAGCTTTATATAGAGTGTTGCATGGTAGGTGCTATACAAAAGCCAGGTACCATATTCTTTTTTTTTTTACTTTCATAATGGAAGAGTGAGTTGGGATTGGGTTTAGGCAGGGAGAGAAGAAAGTAAAGAAGGGCCAGGGCTGTAAGTAAAATATATTTAAGTATTGCGGTTTATAAAACTGAAGTTTTTCCATCCTCAGTGCGGAACTTTACCCGCCCTGTATGGAACGACTGGTATTTCCATTTCTAATCCATAAAACCTCTGGCACTACAAGAGAAATAACCACTGTAGGAAGGAGCAGAGCAGCTGGCATCATCTCTGACATTTGGGGCATAAATCTCCTCTCTCCATCCTGTTATGCATATCCTTAAGGAACTGGGGAGCAAATGGCCATAAATAGACTTCAGGTTTCTGTCTAGTCCCTTTTATTAGAAATGGCATCGTGACAAGTCTTGTTTATAGAGTGCAATGCAGGGTCATTGCACTGTACCTTTCCAGTAGGCAAGAGCCTGCAAGCTTGGAGACCCATCCCCATCTCTCTGGAATGCATGCGAGCTTCGGGTCTAGTGCTAGGATGGGGAAAACAAACAAAATTCTTGCAGTGATGACAGTTGTGGGCTTTCTATCCAGTGTTCTGGATTTAATACTCCTAGTAGCTCTCAGTTCTTGAAGGGGGTTGTGTGATATTCTTGTCCATCTGGTGTTTGGGCTGGTAGATGTCAGCAAGTTCATGGCTCAGAGCAAAGTCGGCCCTTTCTCCTGCATTGCCTTCTGGCCCAGAACATCTTATTCAAATATTATTTACTGTCTCAAACCTCTCTCTTCTGGGACACTCATGTCGAGGCACCAGCCCTTGTTTTTAAATACCTGAGTGTCTTGGATGGGGATTTGTACTTGTTGACAGGTAAGTGCTGGCCTCACAACGGCTCCTTATGGAAGACAACTGTTTTCACATGGAAAGTAGAGCCTGGGTCCAGCTTCTCCCTGCAGTGCCCTACCCTGGATTTCAGGACAGACCTGGGAGGATCTGTACCAGGACATGAGTGTCCGGAGCGCTGCTGCCTAAGCCCTTCCTGGCCAGGGCTGCTGTTGATGCCCCCTCCTTGCAGACAACGCTGTAACCATCGGCTTCTGCAGATGGCCTGGGGTTCTGGCTTGGCAGGTGGTTTTGATCATTATGGCTTGTACCAGACTTAAAGTAGGGACCGAAGACCAAACACCTCCAATCTGTTGGAAAATTAAATGCGCTGATCCCAGCCCAGGATAGGAGTGGACCACGTCCACCCTTTCTTTGGCACCTAATTACAAGTTGTGTCTCTGGTCGCTCCCCAAAGCCTGTCTTTCAGTCTGTGTCTTATGGGGTTGACTTCATCCCCCTTGCTCAGGCAGATCCTCTCTCCATGGTGTTACCCAAGGAGAGGGAGCAGTTCTAGTCAAGGCCTCAGCAGCCCAACGGGTGAACCCTATCGAGCCAAACCTCAGTGTCACTGAAGTCTGAGACAAAATCCCACTAACTTGGGATCCACTGGAGGTGCGGGCGGAAAAGCGACCGCGCGCGGTGGCCGGACGCGGCTGCGGGAGCCACCTTACGTGCTTAATGGCGGCTGCCCTTCTTGGACCTCTTGGTGGGCAGCTTGCAGGTGCGGAGCGCGGCGGTGTCGCGGATCGGCTGCCCCCGGTACTGCACGGGCGTGGAGCAGCTCTCGTCGGCGCGGGTGCGGTTGCCCCTCAGCCACCTGCGGCGCGGCACAGAGAAGGACACGAGTTGAGGAGGTACCGACCGCGGCGCAGCAAGGGGAATCACTGGGCACGGAGGCAGCTTTTGGGGGCCTCCTGTCACCCGCACAGCCCAAGGGGGCCGTCCCCGCCAAGGGAAACCCCAAGCGGTTCCCCACTTACTTGCGCAGAGGGGCCAGCTGGCAGTTGCAGTGCCAGGCGTTCCTGGAGAGCGTCAGCGTCTCCATTTTGTCGAAGGGGAAGTTGCGCGGCAGCTGGCTCAGGCGGTTGCTCTCCAGGTGAGCCGTCTTCAGCGCCGTCACGCCGGCAAACGCGTTGTCTGCAAACTGCCACACACAGGGTCGGGGGTTAAGAGGCAGCGAGCAACATTAAAAGCTCTGTCTAAAACCTTGGCTTCCTCTGCTTGCGACTTGCAGCAACAGATGTGGAGAGAGAAAGAGAGGACGAAGGGAGAAGAGGCAGCCTGGAAGCTCTGGGGCACTGTCGGAGATATGGAGCTGCCCACAGAGCTGTGCTTTGCAGCCACGTTCCTAAATACGGGGAGCCTGGCAGCCCACTTTGTTTGTGAACCATGCTTCTCCTTTCTAAATGAGGATATTTCATAGGGATAATCCTTTCCAGGGCTGGAAGTCCTCCCAGTGCTGCTTGCTTTCTGTGCCCTGGACCTGCTGAAGGAGGGAGTGTTTGTGGCGTCTGAAGGGCCTGTGGACTTTGGCAGTGTCCAGTGGGCTCCGAGCGGAAAGTTACGCTTGGCCCCAGAGCCAGGTAGAGACAGCGGGGCAGGTTTCCAGCACCTTGGCCTCTGCAGGCTCTCCTTCCTCCTCTGTGATTTTGGGGTTGAATGCGGCAAGATGTGTGTTTTCAAAATTAATGGGTAGGCTTTAAGGGAGCTCTTCTGCTTCACTCAGGACACAAGCTCTATGTAGCAAAGAAAGAAAACTGTAATTTGTACTTTGCAGCCCTCTCCTCTCTTCCTTAGGCCTCTTATCTAGCTTTTCTCAGGCTTAGGTTGGGAAGCTTCCTCTTGAAAGCATCAACACAAGCTTCCTTGGATGTGATGGATTAGAGGGAGGGTTGTTGACAAAGCACAAGCTTCCCTTGGCTGTGGCAAACCCTTCCTCCCCCTTCTCAAAGCAGGAGAGGAGATTCTAGGTCTATCTGAAGATCCTCTGAGTAAGAACCTGGACTTTCATTTCTGGCCAGAAGCTCACATGTTCAGTCACGCTTCAGACATGACCATCAGGGTGTGTTTGGGCTCTCTTTAAGCTGAAAAAGCCTGACAGAGGAAACGTGCTATTTTAGGCCCTGAACTTTTGTGATCTTCCAAATCCAGCAATGTTGGATAGGATCATATTTTTTCTAAGCGTCTCCAGAGTGCTGCACAATTACTGTTGGAAAGTTAGCAGTGCTGTCCTCCATGGCCCAGATCTGACCTGACCTTGGTGGGTTTTTCTGCCATTTAAATGAGATATGAGCCTTATCCTTGGCTGCTTGCACTGCCCAGGGGGACTGTGCCACTTCTTGCAGCAAGGGTGTTGGCCTGAACACCCTGGCTCTGTTCTGGTTTGGATAAGGGCTTTCTGCCTCAGCTTCTCTGACCTCCGTGATCTCATGGCAGGAGTCAGTGTCTTCTGGTTACAGCTGCAGTGCCTCTTCCCAGAGTATATATTTATAAAGAAGTTGGGGAATTTCCCAAGTGAAAATCACTGTTTAAATGAGAATTACTGGTGTTGTTTGCTTTCTCTGGCTATGCCATGAATTTCTTTTGCAGTGGGTATGTAGTAGGGGCTATACTTATAACCTTCAAGGGCTGAATTTCTTTGTTTCTTGTTGACTTACAGTTTTCTCCATGAGAGGTGTTCCTATAAGTGTCTGGTATAGGTCTGTGATGCTGTCAGGAAGGTCGGTGCATGAAGGAAATTGTGTAGTTTGGCAGGTGCAGAATCACCTAACAACTCTTCTTGTGCTGTATGAGTGTGATTTCAAACTGGTATAAGCTCAGGTGGAGTAGTTCTGCACTTGATCAGGTCTTGCAACTATACAGGGAACAGCTAAGGATCATATTTTTATGAAGGAAAAATAGCTGTAATCAAGATAGCAACAGCATTCAGTAAATCAGTATTGTTTCTATGATGAAGTGTCTTCTAACAGCACAAAGTTGACTGCTAGTCATTTGGATACAAGGTCTTGTGAAGGTTTGAAGAGAAGACTGAGCAGGTATGGGAGCTTTTTTGTTCTGGGGAAAAATAAACAAGCCTTAGAGCTTTAAAGGCCACCTCAGTTAGAGTTAATGTAGTAAACTGGTGTCTTCCTGAGATATAAGGTGGAAAGGGGCTGCAGAAAAGCCCTTTAAGGCTGCATCTATAGGTAGTCACTGTAGAGAAGATTTTGTTTCTGCCTAGAAGTGCTAACCCTGACTTTTTGTTCAGTCTTTATAAATCCTTATGCAAATCTCTGCAGTTGCATTGGGATCTTAGAGTCCTTTCCACTGTCCCCTACAGGGAAGCACTTAACTGTCTGCCTTACAATGCTCTGCTGAGTTCCTCAAACTGATGATCCCGGAGGTTGTTTGGTTTAGAAGATTGGGAAAGAAGAAAAGTCTTCTGCTTGCCTGGGCAGAGGCTAGAATGATCCATCAAAATGGATCATGTGCATCTAGCTGGAAATCTTGAAGGTGGACAGAATAAGGATTGATAGATACTAATCAAACACTGTTCTTATATGGTCCTCTAGCTGACTGGATAATTCCTACCAAAGACTGGATTCATATGTGTCAAATTTTTCACATGCTGCTTTAATGGAATTAAGGATCCTTCTGAGCATTCCAGTGTCATGGATTAGTCACAAGTACATCCTGTACTACACTTAAGCTCTAAACTCTTGACTTGTGTGTGATGTAAGTGCCTAGAAGCTCTCAAAAGTGATGTGATTGCCTGTGTAAATATCCACTGTATAAAGGTCTCCCTTTGGGCGGTCAGTGCGTGAGTTACAAGTGTTGAGTTTGGCTATTCTGGTCCTGAAAAGGCCTTTGCTGAGAATGGGCAAGGACTCAAATATGGACTGGGTGGTACTGGAGTGTTAGAGTCATTCTCCACCTGGGCAAGCTGTAATTCTAGTTTCTGGGTCTGTCATTTGGGGGTCCTGTATTCCCCTTGAAAACGCCATGCTCTGTTAGTGGCACCTTTCAACAGGCCTGTCCTTTTCTTCACAAGTAAAGGATCTTTCTTCCTAAAGGATTTTTCTTCCTAGCAAAGGATCGTTCCGGGGAGAACTTTCCTGCACCCTTTTTTTTCCAGCCTTGTACAGTTCATGTAGGACATGAGGCTGCCATAAGATGCTGCCCTTCTTGTACTGCACTTGTTCCCTGGCATTTCAGGGGTCCTGTTTCCAGGAGGCTCCCTGAGTGTGATGCTCCTGCCTGCCGGTTACACTTTCTTATGGAAAAAGGAGGATGTTTTGCCAGGATACCTGCCTGTCTCTCCTCCTCTCCGTTAGGAACAGAGCCCCTTTGTAAGACGCTGCAGGAGTTTCTCCTGAGAGCGCCTCAATAAACAAACCTTCCTTTATAATGAGTGAAGAGGGAAGGCAGGGGGAGGTGGAAGTTCATACCTGTCTGAAAGACGCGAGTGAAACTGCTGCTATTGATAACCCCTCCCGAGGAATCGCTCCCTCCCAAGCAGCAGCAGGTACTGAGGCTGAATTAAGGGAAAAGAGCTCAGCCCTGCAAGCTGGCAGTGCTCTTCAATGCCCTACATACGAGGCAGATCCCATGCCATGCCTGAGGGGTGCCAGAAGGTTGCTAATTGTCCTGGAGCATCCCAAATACCTTTTGGCTAACTTGCAGCTTGGGAGGGAACATGGTGCTTCCCAAGGAGTTTCATCATCCCCAGATAACCCGGTTTGGCAGAAAGCAACCCAGCTGAAGACTGGAGTGCTCATCCCTCCCTTGCACCCTGGCAGAGGTTGTCAGCTGGCTCGTGAGGCCAACGGGAATGCCTGGATCCCCCTCCGCGGGGAAATGGACAGTGAACTGAGGGCTCTGAAGAGAAGGGAATCGAGCCCTGTGTTACTTATCAAAAGCAAGAAGGGACTCACCTTTTGCAGTTTCATGTTGTCCAGGTGGAGTGTCTGCAGATAGCGCCCGAAGGACTGGAACGCATTGTCAGGGATGACCTCGATGGGGTTGTGGGAGAGCTTCAATTCCTCCAGCACTCTCAGCTTGCTCATGGCGTTCACAGGGTAGCTGCTCAGCTGGTTCTTGTCCAGGTGCAGGACAGCGAGGTTCTCTACATCTTCCAGCGCCCCAGGCAGGAGGTTGGTGAGGGAGTTGTCGGAGAGGTAGAGCCAGCGCAGGTCTTTAGCACCACTGAAGGCCCCTGGTTTCAGCTCTCGGATTTTATTACTGCCCAAGTGCAGGATAAACAGGTTGACCAGAGGGGAGAGGAGTCCCTTGGGCAAGTCCGGGATCTTGTTCTGGTCCAGGTACAGGTAGGTGAGCTCTGACAGGTCGTCAAAGGCTCCCTGCTTAATGACACTGATCTGGTTGTCACTGAGATAGAGGTAGACCAGGCTCTTGAGCCCGCGGAAGGCTCCAGTGGAGATCTCCTTGATGCGCGAGCTCTGCAGGTGCAGGGACACCAGCTTCTTCATGTCCCGGAAGCCGTTGGTCGGCAGCACGGGGAAGTTGTTCTTCTGCAGGTTGAGCAGCCGCGTCTGCTCGGGCACCTTGGGGATCTTGCGCAGGCCGGCGTTGTCGCAGATGACGTGCTGCAGGTCCCCACCGTGACAGTGGCAGCTCGGGGGACAGGCCTGCAGGACGGAGGCCAGGCAGGCCAGGAGGCTGAGGACACTGAGGAAGAAGCCTGACCGACTCATGGTCAGATCTGGAATTAGTGTGGCGGGAAGAGAAGAAGAAGAAGCAGGAGGAGGGAGATGGCTGGGAGAGAGAGAGTGGCTGGGTTTGCAGCATGCTGAACACAGCCCTATTTATAATGTTATTAAAAAACAAAATCCCTTCCCACAAACCGCAGGCAGCAGCCAGTTGGAAGCAACCGACTTTGGGAACGTACTGTGAGCTTAACCCCTTGGCACCAGGCAGCGGCGCGTCCTCGTCCCGCCCGGCCCTGCACAGGGCTGCCTGGGCACGGGGCACTTTTCCTCCCGGCAACACGGAGGCAGACGCCGGGGAGGAAGAAACGCAGACTCACTCCTGGGGGGCTCCATTAATACCAGAGGGGGCCTGGGCTTGTCCGTGGGGATGGAGGAGCCCGGTGCTCCCAAACCAGCAGCGCTGGGGCGGCATCACGACCCCGGCAGCGGGATGTTAACCTAGGCCTGGGGGAAGCGTCGCCGCCCGCTACATGCGGCCCCTGGGGCTCTGTGTCCTGCCCGAGCAGGGGCTGGAAGCGAGGGGAGCAAGAAGGGGCCGTGGCAGTGCTTGCAGCTGTGCTTGCAGTGCACAATTATGGTTGAAGGTTTGCACATCCAGATTGCATCAAGGAGCTGGCCAAGAAAGGGAGTGTAAAGGTGTAAAGATGTTCTTTTATTTTTGTATTTTTTTTAACTGTGCCTTTCCTATGAGCTAGCAGAACATGAGACATGCAGAGCTGGCCTGAGGGACCGTGCACAGGCGAGTGAGCACAAGGGAGCTGCTCGGACGGATGCGATGGGGTCCGGGCTGGCGGAGCAGCCCGAGGGCAGCCGTGCTCCGCTTTGTGCCACCTCACAGCCTGCCCACAGCCCCGGGGGCACCCGTGGGCACAGGGAAAGGTTGTGGGTAGCAAAGCAGCAGTCGCTGGCAGAGAGGGGACCGAGGCCTGTGCTGGAACTGGTGCACAGAGGTGCACTGAGTGAGTGGGTGTCCCCTCATCCACAGCTACAGCACAGCGTGAGCAGCCTGGGTGCCACTGCCGCCCGCCCGGAGGGAGCTTCCAAGCCGGGCTGGCGTTTGGAAGTGGAACATTTTGAACTGGTTTCCAGCCAGCTCCTGGCTGCAGCAAACAGCTGAGAGGCGAGCGCATAACCACGAGCCTGTTGAGCTCCCGCGCCCGGCCGCGCAGCCCCAGCGGAGCTTTTGCAGAGGCGAGACGGCCTCGAGAAAGGGAGGAAATCCAAGGGCTGCCTTAGGACACAGGCCGGCTTATTCGCGGCGATCGCTGGGTTTTTTCCATTGTTGCGAGGAGGAGCATGCGCCAGACGGGGTTATGCAAACGGCCTGGCAGCGCGCGCGCCTCGCAGATGTCACTTTGAATGGTCTCCTTATTGCGTGACTAATCTGGGGGGGGAGAGGGCTTCTGGGGGGTGAATTTCGGTTCCGCTGAGCCCGCGGGGCAGATGGGCCTGCCTGCTCGATGATGTAACGCGGGAGCTCGGTGCAGAGCGGGCCGTGGCGGCCCTGCGGTGTTTGTCAGCGCTGCCACACGACGCGCGGCAAGCGCAGGGCTCCTCGGCGTGCGCTGACCCCCAACGCGCTCTGCTGAGACCTACTGTTCTGTGGGGCCTGCAGCTCCTCCTGCAGGGACCCGCTGCAGCGCTTCGTGCGCTCCTTACTGCAGTCTTTACAACGCTTTGCTCAAAATAATCCTACCAGGTGCTTTTGCTTATGCCCGAGATCCAGCAGCCACCACGGTGCCAGGTGCAGTGACTCCTAGACCTCCTGCTTTCCTCCTTCATCCCTCTGGGCTCATCCAGGCCCATATGCCCCGTGGGGATTGTTAGTAAGACCCAGCAGCAGCTGTGTGAAGGACTCAAAAGGAAAAGAACGCTCACTCCCCAAATCATCATCTTCCCAATGACTGATTTTTCTTGAGCAGCTTTGGCTGCTTCAGTCTTACTGAAAATCATCTGCTGAGCCATTCCTGAAAGTTAGCCGAGAGCTGTAGATGTGCAGGAGGAACACGCTGGTAAGGTTTAAAGTCAGCCTGTTTTTGTTGGATGCTGGAGCATATCTGGGCTCCCTCCCTGGGCGCACTTGATACTCTGATACTTGCTTTTCCCATCCCTATATGAAAAGGTATTGGCCAGCAGCTTACTATTTCTGCAGATTTCTTCCAGTGTGAGTCAGAGCGGAGCAGAAAAGGGAGTGAGGGCCCTGCAGACCTGGTCCATAAATAGAGGCAGCCTGTGTGTGTTCCTGGAACAGGACCCCTCTTGGATTTAGACTATACAAACTCCAAACCGTCTCTCCTTTCCTTCTCGAGGGGCCTGTTTCCCTTTTCTGCCCCCTTTATATGATCTGAGCTGCAGGTTCCGGGGGACGTGGAGCCGCTGTGTGGCTAGGATGGGGCTGGAGCAGCGGGGCTCCCAACACGGGTAGGAGCAGCACTTTGCAGGCACAGAAGGTGCTGTGACCTGGTGGCTCCCCGGGTGGGCTCCCTGCTGTCCCTCTGGGAGCAGCAGCACATCCGAGGATGCTCCGTTCCTTTTGGTCCCGCTCCCACAGCATCGGGGCACAGCTGCTGGGGGAAAGGTGTCTGCTTTTCAGCTCTGCGCCTCCAGGCCCAACCATTTCATAAAAGGAAGCTCTTTCTCCTAAGGCTGTTGATTTCTAAGGCTCGGTGAGCACATTCCTGCGGCGGGAGCCAGTTGGCACCTTCCCGCGCGGCGGCGGAGGCCCCCGCGCTCCAGCTGTTTGTGCTGGGCCGCGGGCTGGCAGCTCCCGCTCCGCGGTGCTGCCCGGCCGGGAGCGGGGCCCGCGCGGCACCGCTGCCCAAAGGCTCCCGGCGCGGGGCTCGCGGGCGGCCCCTGCCCCGCGTCGGTGCCACCAGCGGGGCCCTGTCCCTGTCCCTGGCAGCGCCCCGCAGCCAGCGGGGCTGCAGGGCACCAGCCTCTCCTAATTGATTAACAGTTATGCAAACATCCCCCCTGCCTGCTAATTTGCAAATGCCTGGCTCCCTTCTCCACCTCCTTGGAGGCTTTTGTGGGCTAAGCAAATAAATACACTTTTTTTTTTAAAGTATAAATATAGATTTGGGGTGTTGCTTTGGTGCTGCAGGTCAGAGCTGTTTTGCTACAGCACTGGGCTGGTCTTTTCCATGTCTCATCTTTATTTTTGTTAGCACTAGCAATTCTGTTGCATGAGGAAAGCTGCACATAAAGTATCCCTGGTGTGAAATATTCCACTGCGCGCTCAAGCCAGACTGTAACTTGTGAAGGGCTCGAGCTCTGCTCACGCACCCTGGCAGTGACCTCCTTGAAGGCAGCGGTGACGCCAGTGCGGCCGGCACGGGGACCAGGGCTGGAGGTGGCACCTGGCTTGGGATGAGCCCCTGTGGAGCTGGCACGGACTGGCGAGGCAGGAGCAGCACGGCAAGGAGGGCAAGGCAGGATGGAAGGAGGGCAAGGCAGGACGAGGGGCTCTGAAGGTCCGGAGCCACCTGAAGGGTGACCTGGTGCTGGCAACGCGATGGTGGCAGCACCTCCTTCCTCTCCATGTTTCGCCCTGGCCGTGCAGCAGCAGGAGGCCGGTGGCACAGCGATTCCCCTGGCCCGGCTGCGTTGCCCTTTCTGCAGGGCCCGGGCGCTCTCCTGCACAAAGACAGCCCTTTGGGCACCTGATATTTTTGGGAACGTTTTAAGGCCCATCCAAACTGGGGCTGTCTGGCAGCTTCCCCACAGGGGTAGAGGTGCCAGCAGGGTGGCCGCCCTTGGAGGTTTGTCCTACAAGACCTGCTTGTTTGTGTCCTGGTGTTTGCACACAAGGATGGTACTGTTGCTGCACAAGCAACAAGTTGTGGTGACACAGGGCCCGTGCGATCAGAAAGTTGTTTTTTTCTGCAGCAGGAAAGTTGACCGGAGGGTTCAGGAATATTCCAAGGCAATTTGGGCTAGGAGAACAGCTCCAAAGCAACCAGACATCCCCAGAGGATAGGGGAACTTGGGGTGAGCTCTGTAGCAAATGCTTGAATGAGGAAAGAGCAGTTTGGAGCCGGCTGCCAAGGGAAGGGCTGGGATTGACTTCAGTGGAGATATTCGAGGCAGACAAAACACCCAGCATGAGTTTAGGGATAATTAAATCCATCCGACATGTTACAGTGAGAGGAGATCCAAGAGCCAGCTCCAAGGCCCTCTGCACATCTCTTGGGCTGCTGCTCTGCGCTCTGTTCCTCATTACGCCTGCTTTGAAGTCTGCAAATCCCTATTATTTCACGGCCCGTTTGCCGCTCTTTCCCGAGGCCAGGATTGTCCTCAGCGAAGCTCCCATTCCCTGTGTTTCAGTTTGGTGGTTCAAACGCTGTCGTCGTTCCATAGGGCGGCGGAGAGAGGGGCTGGAGGACCCTTCCCTTGCCCCCAGTTGTGGCTATGGGTTCCTCTATGGACCCCGTGTCCTGGTCTTCTCTTCCGACTCTACTACATGGTGTAAGGGAGTGCTAAAGGCAGCCTGTTCATCACAGCCTCCTTAGAGCAGCTCAACACAGAGGGAAATTAATGCTTTCCTTGCCGTTGAACATTTGGGAGAACGGAGGGAGGCAGAGACTGGGTCCAAGTAATGCAGGAAATAAGTGGCACAGTTGGGTAAGGGAACCCCAGGCTCCTCAGAGACCCCAGATCTACCCACCACATCAGGCTGCTCCCCAAAGGGGCTGGCATCGCATTGTTCTGTAATTTGTTTTTATTTTTTAGACACTCGAAGCTGTTTTGCCTGTTCCGCAGTGGCCAATGTTTAAACACCATTAGCAGGAAATGTGTTTAAAAAAAAACACCCAGTCCTGCTAAGAAGTCCTTTTTATTTCCAGCTTAGACAGAGCCTCGGGATCCACAAAGAATGAAACTCTTGTTGCTGGAAATAAGTTAGGAAGCAGGTTGTTTTGGAGCTGTCCTGGTCACTTCTGATGGCAGGGCTGATCAACCTGCTGGGCAGCGCTCGGTCATTTGTGACCCAGAAAAGATTTATAGGCAGTTAAATTCTGTGCTCCCCACAGCTCCTCTCAAAGCCAAGAGCCCAAGCTGGGTTCCCCACCTCCTAAAACCTCTGCCGTGACCCTAGATA